ACTTCCACAGTTTTTTTGGTTTTGTTTTGTTTTGATTCTTCTTCTTCTTCTTCTTTTTTTTTTTTTTTTTTTTTTTTTTGTACCTTGTGATAGGCATGGCAGCCGTAAACAAGGCCATTTAGGCACAACGTAAAAGACTGAGGAAGGAACTCTGGCCATCTTTCCAAGGTGCTCATTAGCAGTTATCCTGTGTTGAAATACCACCCACATGAAAAGTTCTTTAGTTGGAAAACCAACCTGCTTGACTCTTGGAGGAGGGCCTGATAGCTGTCAGATTTCAGTGTGAACGTTAAGGGGGTACAGGCTAAGTACTGGTCTCCATGAGGCTTTTGTTTTTAAATGTGTTTGAATTTATACTCAGTGTTCAGTTAGGCTAGTGAGCATAAAGGCCCACCTCCAGGAATGACTAGGGATAAAGTTGTGTTGTAGAGAAATCCAAATCTGTAAGTAGCTGCTTAGCTGTTTATTACTAGTTATAGACTAATTTCCATTATTTATTCACTTTCCTTGTTGATGATAATAAGGGACAAAAAGTTTCTGCATGGTAAACATGTGTGCATACATGCCTGTGTTTGTGTCCCCACTGCAGAGGCCAGACGAGAGTGCTATTTTGTGTCGTTCTCCACCTTGTTTCTTGTGGCTGTTACTTGGTTGATTTTTGATTTTGTTTCTAAGACAAATTGTTTCTCACTGAACCAGAAGTTTCCCAGTAGACTGGCTAACCAGAGAGCTCTAGAGAGCTCCTTTCTGAGCCCAACCAACAGTGTCACAGACACACATGGCCATGTGAGGCTTTTTACATGGGTGCTAGAGATTCAAACTCAGGTCCTCCTCACCTGTTGACCTGTCTTCTCAGGCCCCACATTAGAGATTTTGTTTTGTTTTGTTTAGTTTGCGTAACTTTTATTTGGTTCAGTGCCTAGTAATGAACTCATGTCACCACCAGAGAGTACTTATTAAATAACCGTGAGGAAGGGTGGTGTTATGTGATGTACATTAAGGCTTATTAAGCAAAGTAACTCTGCGCTACCTAGAAATTACTAATATCTGATAATCAAGCATCACAGTCACCCCATTCTTCCAGTCCCTGGGTGCCTACAGGAAAATGGAGAATTATTGGATTCCTATTGACGCATCAGGGCATTAATCTACCCTAAATAATAGTAGGTGACCAGTCACCTGACTTCATCCTGACTTGCTCAACCTGACTTCGGTTGAACCTTTACCAGAGAGGTGTGGGTGGGAAAGCCCATTATTCTCAGTCACCTCAGTGGCCCAGTTTGCCAAACCTTCTAACCAGTGGGAAGCATGCGTTAATACTTCAGTGGGTGGCTCTCCTACTGAGGGAGTCTTAAGCTTTTTACTCCATGTTTTCATGAATCACATCCCTTCCATCATCCTCCTTCCTCCTGCTGGCCACCTCTCACCAGTCTCTTGTCTGCTGCCGAGCTGCAGCCGATTCCTCCTCCTCTTCCTCCTCCTCCTCCTCCTCTGCTTTCTTTCATCCGACTTTCACATGTGAGAGGGAGCACTCTCCACTCGTCTTTCTGTATCTGCTTCTTTCACTTGTTATTAAGACACCCAATTTTATCCAATCTCCTTGCAAATGCCATAATTTTTATGGAAGAACCCTGTTTAACACAAAACTCACCCAAAGCGTGGTTTACATTTCACTAAAGTAGAAGATGCCCATAGTTGCAGTGAGTGCTTGGTTTCGTAATGTCCGATGTCCTCATTGCTGACTGTCTAGGACTCACATAGAGCCTGGAACAGTCCGTTTCTGACTCCCAAGCTTTTTGGTATTAACCACGAACATTTAGGGTGGTCTGACCAGTGTATACAGTGACTATGAGCTACTAATGCCAAGACCCTTCTTATTCCCTCTTCTGTGGAATGAGGGGCGTGGCCTCTCCCTAGACTCTCCTTGTAAGTTTCCTTATAATTCTCCAGTTCTGGGCCACAGTCTGATTGCCTTGGAGGTCCTAGCTGTTGACTGATGATTTCCTCAGAGAAATTGTCTCCCGTAGCTCAGGCTGGCTTCAAACTGGTTAAGCAGATGAGGCTGGCTCTGAATTCCTGATCTTCCTGCCTCTACTAGATGTTAGGGTTGGTGGTGTGTGCCCCCGAGTCTGAAATTATAGAAAGTTTCTAAAGAACCGTGTAAAGCTAGTTCTCTGTGTTTCCTGAAGCACATTTTCCTCTGGCTGACTTAGAATGATATGACATCATTGTACTTGGCTGGCACATGATTACAAGAAATTCAGTCCATGCATCCAAAACCAGGGCCTGTGACTAAGAGCTAATGCTGAGGGCTGGAGAGATGGCTCAGGGATAAAAAGCGCTTGCTGCTCTTGCAGAGGATCCAGGTTCAGTTCTGGATACCCACGTGACTGCTCATAATTCTCTGTAACTCCTGTTCCAGGGGATTCAGTGGCCTGTCCTGGCTCCTTCAGACAGCAGGCGCACACATGACGCCATACATGTATGTAAGCCAACACTCATACACGTCAAAGGAGAATGGTTCTTTTTTAACAAATGAAAAGACATCTCCAGGGAATGTTTTGAGCATTCTCAAAGAAGCAGGGAGGCTATGGCTGAACACTTGACAGATCTGGGGGACTCAGCAGATGGAGCATGATGGCGCCAGGTGTGCGCCTTGGGGTTTTCCCAGTAAAACTGTTCTGCTCAGTTACTCAGTAATCACTAAAGGAGCCCTTCCTTCGTGCTTAGGAGTCAGCACATAGAGATCCAACCCGGCTTTCAGCTGAAGTTTACTGAGAACAGGCAGGCCTAAGTTAGGCTGCTTAACCTCTAACCCCACTTCTTTTCTCTAAAATGGAAGTAGTATTTCAGCAGAAGGTGGGGTCATTGGATTAAGTGATAAGGTCTTTCCCTGGGATGTCCACACAGGAGAAGTACTAAGTAAAGAAAGGCCTTGTAGTTGCAATAACTCGTTACCTTTACCTTTCCTAATTAAGAAGAAAAGACTCATGCTGTCTAATGCATAGCCTGCATTAACAGTAGGGTTCCATTTCTTTTCTTTTTTTTTTTTTATTTTAGCAAGTCATTGCTTATGCATGAGCCTTACATGTTTTATGTATCTTAACTTCATATGAGTTTAAGAAAAGTGAATCTCCTTCTATATGATCTTCCCTTCGGAGACTTTAGAGCGAAAATACAGTCATGTATATGTATGTGTATATGGATGAGAGTGGCCCTTGAATAATAGCCTATAGTTCTCCATAAAATTGCCTTCTTTTTTTTTTTTTTTTTTTTTTTTTTGCTTTGCTTTCGAGGGGAAAATATTTGTCAGAGGAGGAAAATGTACCATAATCTATTGGAGTTTTTTTCTTCAGTTGTTTTTAAATACACTGCTGGGGAAATACATTTTCTCTCAGTGTCCCCAGCTGCTCATTTGTTCAATGTCTTCTGAGGACCTACGGTATCAAGTGCTGTTATTTGCCCTTTTAAAAAAAAACCTTTGATACCATGAGATTGTCATCACTTGTTCTGTAAAAGCCTGCTTTGTGCCAGGACCATGTTTTCTCAACAGGCACTTGCCGTGTCGAGGGGTTACATTCAGTTGATTCCTGGTATCATAGCTTTACAAGGTGTGGCTCACCAAGTAGGTGTCTGTAAGGAATGCTGTTTCTTAGATACATAGTAAAGCCAACAATCAGAGGAATGATTTATGAAGCATTTTACATGCTACCTTCTTTAGCATTTTGGTTTTTATACTGTGTCTTGCAGCTTATTCTTTGACCATTTCCCTCTCAGTGTAGTTGCATTGGGAATACCCATTCTAAGAGATGGCTTTTTATCTCTAGAACTATGCTTAAAGGTTTAAACTATTTACAAGGCCTCTGAGGTCCCCATCCCACCCTTCTCAGTCTGTCACTCCTTCTCTGCATGGTTTGGCATCACTAAACTGTACAGTAACAAATCAGCAGAGAGTGGGACTTGGGAGGGTCCTGTTATCTTGCTGATGCCCCCCACCAAGAGTTGAATTTCTACTCTGCTGTGAGTGGGCGCACAGGAGCTCCAACAGTGACCGCCCTCCCATGATGCCCTCATGGGCTCCGGGTACTTGCACATAAATTTTTCCAATCTAATCATCCAGGTAAAAATATTTACTATGGGATATTTTTAAATGTGAAATGTTTTAAGCTTTTCAGCTTATAAAGAGATTTCTGTGTGTTTGTAAGAGAGAAATGGGGAGAGAGGACGGTCAGTGTGTGAAGAGATTTCTATGTGTGTGTAAAAGAGAAGAGGGGAGAGAGCGAGCCCAGTCTCCATCTTGCTTTGTGTCTACCTTTTGTTTGTTTCCTGGGTATTTTAAAACAAATCTAAGATATGCTTTCTCGTTTGTAAATATAGCTCAATGTGTATCTAAAACTGAACCTAGCATTTTGATTTTATTACAACTGCTTTTTTACACTAGTTGTTCAAGTAAGAATTTTTTTTATGCGTACTTGTGACTGTTGTGTGCTTTTAATCTGATTGGTCTAGGATCTGACTGACTGTACAACCCACCTGAAGAGAATCATTCAGTAGTCCTGCAGATTAAATCAGTGGTCCTCTGGTTATATCAGAGACATGCCTAAACTCAGGTGTGTGTGCGGTATCCGACAATTATGCATTTTTATTAACGGTAATATTGCAAGTTAATACTTGCCTTTTACCAAAACCATGACTGTATTTTAGGTTCATTTATCTAAAAAGAATAAAAGCAATTCCTTTAGTAAAATGGTCACTTTTTGTACCTTGGTGCTATGTTGAAATTTTTTATTTTAAGGCCTGAAAAATGTGTGGTGTTCACTGTATCCTGTTGTAAACGGCAGGGTGAATTTGCCAACATAACATGTCTCCAAGGAGATTAATTTTCCATCGAAGTGGGGCATGTACTCAAAAAACTGCCTTTAGTAAAGACCGGCAAGCTGTTGTGAGAGGTATTTCAGGACTCCTGTCTCACAAGGTTTGTTCCATCTTTTTCTCCATAGGAAGAAATCTTTCCTGTTTTCTGCGCTGTATGCTGCCTTTATATTTGGTGGTCGGCATCTGATGAACAAGCGAGCCAAGTTTGAACTGCGGAAGCCGCTCGTGCTCTGGTCGCTGACTCTTGCCGTCTTCAGGTAGGTTGCTTTCATTCTCCTCAGGACGCACCTCTCCTCAGGTCTGCCAAGAGAAAGCAGTCTTTGCATCTGATCTTTTTTCTCTTCTTTTTTCTTTTCTTTTCTTTTCTTTTCTTTTCTTTTCTCACTATGAACATCAAGTCATGTGCAGAGGAATCGCTTTGTTCTGGTCACATTGACTCCATCTTCCGTTAGGTGAAGTCTTGGGCCATTTCTTTTGCTATCAAGTTTGGTCATTCAGTCATTCCAGTTGCCCAAATATAAATATAAAATTCCAAAACACACAAGTAAGTTGTGAAGGTCATTGGAAGTCAGGACTCGGGATCTTGGGTGAGCTGTTACGAGTACTTTAACGTAAAGATGGCACTGAGACAGAAGGCCAAACCCTGGATGTGTCTAGACATCACTAGACCAGAGAGCTTTGTTGCTCTGCATCCCCCAGAGCCCCGTCCACTTCCATTCCCTGTGCTCGCTGGCATGTGTTTTTTATACAGCCGGTTCTTCCTGTGCTTCTTCCTGTGCGCCTGCCTCACAGAAGCTGTGGAGATGCTGCCTAGCCTCTCCAGGGAGTTCAGTCAACCTGCCAACAGCCACATTCCTTTGTCTCTAATATTTGGTGATGTCAGCCATCACAAGGCTGATTAGCACACAGCTGGGGTCTAGGCAGGTGCCAGAATTCACCAACAGAGCTATCAAAGTCACTTGTCCTATTTGTGATTTGCTTTTCAAATCCTTCAGTTTCTGACTCAGTTAAGGAGAAGGGTCAATGGGGACAGAATAGGGAAAATCAAAGACAAAGCACGTTGCCGTCATCTTACAACTATCTATATTTGGAATGATATGGATAGCTTTTCTAGCACTAAGGGAAGATGGATGGTATCATTAAAAGCCTCATTAGTCACCTAACGCTTCTTAGGATCACTCAGGAAGAGGATTTTCCCATGGAGCTCCAGGAGTTGCACATTCCATTTTGCTGGCTGCCTGCACGGGAACCCCGATTGCTTATCTCTGCACTTTTTATTTCACTGGATTTGGGGAGGCCAGGGATTTGAAGAGCTTGCACTAGAGTCTGTTGCTGAAGACTTCCAGTTCTTTTCCTGTCAGGTTGTGAGTCTCTCCCTAAAAAAAAAAAGTAGAATTTACTGTTCTGTGACCCATAAACAGATTAAAGTCCAAATGATGTCCCGTGCACCCAGCACCCTGCTTAACACGTACTCAGCTTTCAATGGGTCGTGTTTCTCTTCTATTCCTAACTTTCCCCGCATGCTCAAATTTGGAAATAATACAGGCTGAAGCAATTCTGTGAAGGCTAAAAGGGAAGGATCTTTTCAAAGAAATGCACACCGTACTATTTCCTCGCTTAAGTTAGTGGTAATTCTTTGTTCAATCTTCGAATTTTTCTACTTGACTTATCGCTTCCTTTTTATGGTTTGTTTATAAAAACCTGGACCAAAATAAGGTTTGTGTGTTTATATTAACCCTTCAGATTTCCTGGCCTTCTCTTCCCCTCTCTCTCCCCTACTAATGTCCCCTGTGAGGAAATCCTTTGCTCTGTATACTTTATCCCATAGAGTTGCCCCTGGTAAGGATTTTTCCTGATTTTATTCTTTTGAACCTTGCGTGTCTTGTAAGTTGGTTTATTATATTCGTGTTTAATATTTCACAGAATTTTCTATAAGAATCTTACCTTCACAAGTGTCTTAGTTAGGATTTCTACTGCTATGAAGAGACACCATGACCATGGCAATCAGATTTCATCGGATCTGGCTTACAGTTCAGGGTTCAGTCCACTGTCTTCATGGTGAGGAGGATTGCAGTGCACAGATAGACATGGCGCTGGAGAGGAAGAGAGAGTTCTAGATACAGATCAGCAGGTAGCGGGAAGAGAGGCACTGGGCCTGGCTTGAGCATCTGAAACCCCAGAGCCCACCCCCAGTGACACACTTCCTCCAACAGCGCCATACCCACTCCATCATAGACGCACATCTTAATTGTGCCACTGTTTATGGACCCATGGGGGCCATTTTTAGTCAAACCACCACAACCAGTAATCTAAAGTGAATGCATCTTTCCAGTAACTTGAAGTATGGGGTATGGTTAGAATAAAAAAGTGAGCTATAGAGTTGTGTTTAAAAATAAATCTTGCTCAGTAATGTACATTCAAAGTTTATTCATTAACAATAACATCTGTATATCATTCATTAATTTAAATATTTATAAAAGTGTGTGAAGAGGTACTAGGAGAAAATTATGCCTTGAGGAAAACCAAGGAGACGTTATTTTTAATTGTTAAATATCTACTGTTTACTGGGATAAAGAAAAAACATGCCAAGTTTCCGTAATAAGAGCCTGGTTTTAGTGGACCTGGAAATTTAGAAATTTAAACTTTCTTTGTTCTTATTCAGAACAAAGCAGATATATTTGTCTTTTTCGAAGGCTGAATGTATAAAAGTTTTGTTGAATCAAATTTTTCTCAGTCCATTCCTGTCAAGGTGGGGGAGAAGGAAACAGAAACCATGTTACATGACACACATGGGTGTGTCATGTTAAGCCACAGACTGATACCTAACATCTGTGCAAAGACAGATAAAGTATCTATGTTATATAAATAGCAAATAAATGATAAGTATAAAAGCCCAACACATCCTAGGAGCCAAAAAGCCCACTGCCATTGAGAAATTATTGGCTCCTCCGGTTCTGGATTTCTACCTGCAGGAAGACACCTGCTAACATTTTCATAACTAAACACACCAATGTCTTGTCTGAAGAATAACTTGCTTTCCCCCACCCCTCCGGAGCCCAAGTAGGTATTAAATGTTTCTTTTCTAAAATTAATAAAGGAAATTAAGGAAGGTGATTTACTAACAACTGTTTTACACTTCTTTATAAAAGGGGACAAGACCAATTGAATCTAGAAACAAAAGAGTTTTGAGTGTTTCCAAGGAAGTGGTTATTAGATTAATTAAGTAAATTTGCAGTGTGGTAGTTAGTGATTTCCAGGCTGTTATAGGAGGGGTTTGCCGAAGAGAACACAGGAGTACATCTGCTCTGCAGATGATACAGAGGCACACAGGCTCTGGCCTCATCTCAAACACCTTTGTGAACAGATTGCTGTCTTGTGATGAGCGCTGACCTACAGGTCATTCTCCCGTGGTAGACTTTGATACACACAAACCCCACAGCAAGGTTGTATCTTCCCAGAGAACAGCCTGTGGTTATAGCCTCTCCCTGTTGTACAGGTAGATGACGGGTTCATAAACTTTGCTGACCTATCACCAGGAACACTACCCAGTCGTAGATGTTTTGGTTCTTGTTATTGTATGGTTTACCTAGTAGCTTTTTAAAATTTAATTTCTAATTTTACAAGTAGACTTTGTTCTTGAAAACAAACAAACAAACAAACAAACAACAAACTAACCAAAGGCAAAAGAAAAGCACACGTACAGTCTTAAATCTCATTACCCACAGATATTTACTCTGAATAGATGAATGTTCTTCCAGGAATCTTTTGTCACAACTTAAAATTTTCAGTTTGGGCAATGACATGAGTTCCATACTGATATAAGACAGTGCAGTTCTCAAGGTGTTTTGTATCATTTACCGAATCACTCACACCGTAGGTCGTCTCAACTGGACTGAAGTAGCGTGTCTTTTTAAAGGAGATTACATGAATTTACAACTGCATCACTCAAAAGTGATTATTTTGAATTAAGGATTAAGCTACAGATTATGATGCTTAAAAATTTTCTTGTGGTACCTCATTGATTTGTAAAGGTTCCCGTTTGCCATGATTTTCATGATTTTTGCCTGGGATGGTTTTGTGTGTGTGTGTGTGTGTATCAAGAATTAGAATTGCTTCAGAAGCCCATCACACTAAAGGAATGAATTTTTTTTTTTTTTTTTTTTTTTTTTTAAAGATTTATTTTATTTATTTTATGAGTGAATGCACAGTTGCTATCTTCAGACACCCCATAAGGGGGCACTGGATCCCATTACAGATGGTTGTGAGCCACCATGTGGTTGCTGGGAATTGAACTCAGGACCTCTGGAAGAGCAGTCGGTGCTCTTAACCGCTGAGCCATCTCACCAGCCCATGAATTTTTATGAAACTGCCAAATTCTGTAATCTGAATTGTACCACATGACACTGACAGACATTGGTCTGAAGCAACCACTGTTATCTGTTAATCGGTAGAGGAAAACATTAAAATGAATAACATGAGTGGGCGCTAGATGTTCCTATTGAGATTTCTCTTAGAAATAATGAAGTAGCTGAGGTTCTGAGAAATGAGTCTTCCTTCTTCCAGGAGCCCACATGTCCCCAAGGTCCGGATGTGAGCAGAAAACCATAGCAGAACAGTGAGTGGGATCCGTGCTGTCTAGAAACATTGCTTGCTCACACTATGGTTCTCTTGTTACATCACTAAAATTTCTCCTTCTGAAATTTCCTGTGTGCAACATACTTGCAGGTCACCAGTGAGCCCGTTCTTTTGTACTTTCAAGCTCTTTCTTGGAAGCTTTCGACCTGTTCTCTCTACACTTCCAAATACTCAGTACTTGACTGTTTTGGGTGATACCATGGTATGGATAGGTGCCTGAGTCTCTCTTGACTTGGCTATGACCTTGGAAGCAGGAGTTTTCTCCCTTGAAGCTAGCATTTGTTTTTGCCAGAACTACCAGTGGATAGATTTGCTTAGATAATAGCAGCCTCATTGCCTGTCATTTGCAGCAGAAAATTCACAAGTAAAAATTGGTGCAGGCTCTCTGACCACTTCTTATTGTCACTTAGAACTAAATTGTACCTCCTTGAGGCTGTGGTACCCAAACAACCTCCACTGAATTCATTGCTATTTCAAATACTGCTCATACTTTAGAGTCCTAAGATTTAGAACCGAACTTTAGAAGTTTGATTTTAGCCTACATTTCTGAAACTCACTATAGAAATCCATTCCAGGCCTATAGACTGCATATAGGTGGGCTATATGTCTGCTTTTACATACC